AGAAAACAACCAAGCTCAGAGAACCCCAAGTACTCCACAGTTCAACCTTGAGCTACACATATTCACTTCTATTGATAGCCTACTTCCCTGCCACTTCCTGGTGGTTTCCCATCCAAACACTAAACAGCAGCATCCTTGCTCAGCTTTTCCCAATCAGCCAAGTGCTGCCATCTAGCTGGGCATCTTAAGATACTACTGCCCACTGACAATTAGCACCTGGCAGCAGCAAAGACAAAGCCTTTAGCGTTATATTAAGTTGTATTATGATTTATCTGAATTCAAATAGCATATTTTCATTTCTACATGAAAATTAACATGCCAATTATATGCAGATCAACATCCTCCCTTATCCATTCAGAAGCACTTTTTCAGCAATACATAAAGTGACCACGCCACAGCCTTGACTCTGGTTGGTAGTTCTTCCAGATGGACAGCTCCTAGGCACCAGCTATCAAAATGTATAGTCTACAGCTATTAGATCTCACATTCAACATATTTTGGTTGTGAGTGGCAAAGAAAAAAAAAAGAGCACTGTAGACACAGGAGGCTACAAAGGGAAGATGATATCATCTGGACCTTTCATAAAATTACACTTTTGAAGCAGCTGCAATTCCATTTTTAATTCTGGAAAGTCATAGGTTGGGAGGTGGGCGGATGGCAGGAGGACAGGAGATATTGCCTAGCCAGGCTTTATTTAATGAGTAGCAATTAAGGTAATATAAAATGCAGAATACAATCGTACTCATTTTACTATAAAATAAAAATGACTTCTATTCCTTTAAGAACTCCGCAACACAATTATCATACAAATTCCTTTTTTTGTAAGAGGAAAAGCTCAACGGTCTGATTTCTGCCTTTCCGAGAGAAGTGGGTCTGCAAAGCTTACAAGAAATTCTTCTCAAATTGTTAAACAAAGTCATAAAAAGGATGGGAGGAAACTCAGAGTTCCGTGCAGCACAAAGATAGTAAGAAGTCCTAAGCTTGAACCATTAAAAAGTTAAATGGTAGAAAAGCAACTAAAAGAGCCGTTCAGCAGAAGAAAACTCGTCCAGATAAGTTATAGGGTTTTTCCTCCGCCGTTTCTGAAGAAAAAAATGAGCGGGCACATCTGGCGGAGAAGCCCTCGTGATTAGGTAGCCCAGCAACAGCAGGCGCTACGGAACCGCCACCGAGTATCCAAGCTCAGGCAGCCTCTAGGCAGGCCTCGCCTTTCACTCGTGTAACCCTCAGTCTATCCCACCCGAGACCCATAGCCATTATTCCCCACCATGCACTGCGCCCAGGGAGAAAAAGGCAGCCTGCCCGCGGCTCGCTCCTCCCGAGGCCGAGGAGACTGCAGTGAAGAGGCGCGAAGGACGCGCGGACTGACCCGGGACTACAAAACCCCGCCCCTTTCTCAATCATCAGCAACACGCCTGTGGAGCCAATAAGCCCGCCCCGAAACGCTGATTAGCCACAAAGCCGAGCTCGCTTCGCTTCCTCCTCTTACCATTGGGCGGGCTTCGATTGTCGATCAGCGACTTTCTTTCTTGCTGATTGGAGGAAGCTGCGCTGTGGGCCAGCTGCGCTGTCAGTCAGGGAAACTGCTCGGGGAAGGAAGGGAAGAGGGAGGGGAGTGAAGGAAACATCTGGCTGCCGCAGCCCGGGCCCGTCTGTGCCGCCGCCGCGCGTGCTCCTGCGCTGTGTGCGCCTGCCTCCCCGCCCCCTCTCCCTCCCTCCCTCCCGCTCCGCCGGCCCGGGATCCTCCGGGGCGCTGCAATGGGGCGCCGCTGAGACAGCGCGGGGAGCCTCTTCGCTCCCTCCCCTGCCTTCCTCTCCGTTGCCCCGCTAGCGTTGCCCCGCTTGGTGGCCCCTCACTCACTCGCGGACTTGTGGGGGGGAGCGAGC